ATCTTTATAGGACATTTCAGCTTGTTCATTTTTGTGAAAAAAAAAGGTTTTTCTTGATTTTGAATGTAATGTTTTGCCCATGTAATTATTATTATTTTTTAAATGCATGTTAACCATATGCCAAAGTTGATTTGGAAGATACAAAAAAACCCTTTTTGAGGAGGATGAAAAGATACTTGAATCTAACTAAATGTTTAGCACGTACTGTATTTTTGGGGGAGAAAGCGTAGTTGATGAATATTTAAGCACTTGTCATTTTATTGTATTTTTACAATATTTGCCTTCATTGCATCCATCTTTATGTAAATATTTTAGCATGTGTGGTGCACTTAAAATAGAAAATACTTTAAGCTAGTTAAAGTGGAAATAATAAATGCATACTTAAATAAAAGATGGAGTGGGTTCAGTCAGTGTTCAATCAACAAATCATTACATGAACACCATGTCTGCTACTACTGGGGTAGGGTGGGGGGGAGGGGGTTTGTAGCCTAAATGTTTGTATTAAATTTAAAATAATTCTTTCTAAAGCTAATTTCTATCAAGGAGTTCTTATTATTTATGGTTTGATTGGGAGAAAAAATTAACATCTCAAAATTAAAGGCCTGTCTTGTCTTTACTCCTAGTAATTTTATTTAAGTCTTATTCATGCATTTTAAGAGGTCTGCGAATTTGTTTGATTTTTCATATTATTTATAACCCTGTACCTGGAGTTCCTTTCCTAATGAACTGTTGCTCTTTGTCAGACTGAGAAGGCGAACATTCGTCTGAAGCAGATGAAGAGGCAGCTGGAGGAGACTGAGGAGGAAGCGGCTCGAGCAAACGCCTCCTGCAGGAAACTGCGGAGAGAGCTGGAGGACGCCACTGAATCTGCTAGTGCCATGAACCGGGAGGTCAGCACCCTCAAGAACAAACTCAGGTACTGGGACACGGATGATCATCCTTCAGGAAATATCACTTGAAAATCTGCAATTAATAGCAACAAATCAGTCTAAAATGTTTTGTATTTTCTTCCGGAAACGATTATAATATTTTTGTGTTGTATTCAGTCTATACATGCCGAATTAGTCACGTCCGGCAGATTTATTCCTATTTATTGAAGATGATGCAAGTCCAATGTGTAACCTCGATCAAGCCTTTCACCATAAAACATGTTTTATTTGAATGTGACATTTTAAAGACTCCTAGAAAAGATTTTTATACCGAGTGAGAGCATTTAAAAGTATAAACTCACAGGCCACTTTATTAGGCACACCTGTCCAACTGCTTGTACTGGTATTTCCACGCACAACCATCTCTAGGGTTTACAGAGAATAGTCCAAAAAAGAGAAAATATCCAGTGAGCGGCAGTTCTGTGTGTGCAAATGCCATGTTGATGTCTAAAGAGAAAGGACCAGAATGGTTCGAGCTAATAGAAAGGCAACAGTAACTCAAATAAGCACTTGTTACTAGGGATGTAACGGTATTGTAAATACCGTCATACCGCAATATTAAATTTTTTCGATATTACCGAAGTCGCATGACTCGGTAAAACTATAGGTCTTCAGAGAAAATTTGCTCAGGCGAATGAAGCGAACGGGAGGTAGCTGAAACTTCATTTCCCATCAGCCCCGGCGTGGCCATAATCCTTTGCGGTCTGTTGTCGCTACAGATCCAGTAATGCGGAAATGGAGTGTGCTGCCAGTAGCGGAGATGAAAAAAAGATGGAAATGATCGAACCTAAAGCAGTGTTCTGATCAGCTGTGTTGTGGCGCGCGTATTGTAAAGCGCCGAGGCGGGGTTGAGCGCGCATACTCAAGAGAGGTGTTGTCGCGCGCCTACTGAAGGGCTGGACTGGACGGAGGTTGTGTCGCGTCGCGGGGGCACTTTTGATCGTTTTGGAAGGGCATTTTCTATCCAAGACTAAAAAGGGCATGTGCACTGCACAGGTTGAGCCCTATGTGTGCACGTGCCTGCAAGTTGGGGAATACGACTAATAACAGTCATGGGGACTGCAGAAACACAGCACACTGTTCAGATTGATGCAGACATTGACTTGTACCGCAAAGAGATCTCTATCTCACTCATGGTTTGTCTTCTCAAGTGGGGGAAAGACAATGCACAACGTTACCCCACTGCTGTCAACATGGGCCAAGTCATATCTCTCTTGTCCCAGAAACCTCAGTCCCAAATGAGAGGGTTTTTTTTCTGTTGCAGGGGACATTGTAAATACCCAGACATACCAGCTTTTACCAGATTATAATTATATGATAATTTTTCTTTAAACCCATCTCTATCTAAGTGAGTGAGTGATTAAATGTTAAATGTGATGAGTTTTCAACAATACTAAATTGAAACTTTATTTTTTTACATGGTTTAATAATTTTTTTGTTATTAAAATTGAAGTTCCTGTTTCAAAGCTAACAGGTAGATGGCTAATTTGTATGTCATTGACACTTTTGGCACTTTTTTGGAAAATTTTCAAAAGTTTTTTTTTTTCCTGTAAATGATTCAATAAATACCGTACCGTGACATTCATACCGAGGTATTACCGTACCGTGAAATTCTGATACCGTTACATCCCTACTTGTTACAATTAAGGCATGCAGAAGAGCATCTCTAAACGCACGACATGGGCTACAGCAGCAGAAGACCACACCGGGTACCTCTCCTGTCAGCTAAGAACAGGAAACTGAGGCTACAATTCAAACAGGCTCACCAAAATTGGACGATAGAAGATTGGAGAAACCTTGCCTGGTCTGAGTCTCGATTACTGCTGCGTCATTCGGATGGTAGGGTCAGAATTTGGTGTCGACAACATGAAAGCATGGATCCATAGATTCGAATCATGGATGTGCAGCCGACAAATCTGCAGTAACTGCATGATGCTATCATGTCAGTATGGACCAACATCTCTGAGGATTATTTCCAGTATCTTGTTAAATCTATGCTATGAAGTATTAAGGCATTTCTGAAGGCAAAAGGAGGTCCAACCCAGTACTAGTCAATGTGTACCTAATAAAGTGGCCGGGTGAGTAAGCAGTCATATCACCTTAAATATTCTAGTTGTTGGCAGTAGGGGGTGCCCACGACCAGGTTTTATTGAAATCATCTATTGAAAATGATGCACTTCAACAAGCACAGTCTTCATAAATGTCCACACAGCTAGTGTTTATATAGGTCTGTTGTGTTTGTGTGTTCCAGGCGTGGAGATTTCACTGGTAATGTGCGTCGTGCTATTGGGCGCACTGGTGTGGAAAGTGATGATGAGAATGACCTGAAGAGTGAGGGGTCCGAGCCAACTCCTGAGTAAAATTCAGTGCTGAGCCCCTGGGTATACCAGATGAGGACCTGCTATCAGCCATCATGCTCCTCTGTTTTTACACAACTGTGTACTTAATGGGGTTTTCCCTGCAATGTTTTAAAGTCTATTACGAGTTAAACTATTAATTGGACCACTTGGTGTTCAACATTAATAAATAAAAAAAAAAGGTATAAGGTTGGGAATGTGTTCATCTTGCCAATTACCAAGAATTATCTTTGCAATGATGCTGAAATGTTTCATTCGGCCTGTTCTGTCCTTACCCTGTTGACAACCGCCTTACAATGCATTCAATAAATATCGGCTATTTATATTTCACATGAGAGACAAAGTGTTTATACATTTTCAAAATAAATAATTTTTTTATAATGGAAAGACATTACCTTTTTGAAATACTACATAATCTAGGATTTGCAGAAATATCAACAATCAGCCAAAGAGATTTATCTTGCAGCCGTTTTGTTTCAAGAGCACTTCAGCACCAATAAGCCTTTTCCTGGTAGTTTCACTGCACTTTTCCACCCGTTTTAAAAGTTATTTTGGACAGTTTGCCTTAATTTTATTAAAGGTATTGTTAATGAATTGAGTTCTCACTCAGGACTTGTGTACTTACTGCAAACCGTTTCTAATCCATTCATGATGTTTGGAGTTTCACACTTAAGGTGGTGGGTTGTAGTTTTTACATTTATACTCAAACTGTTATTGTTGGTTCTTTTCCATGAATTTACATACGTGCTGCTTTTATCCCAATAGTATTTGCTGCATGATACACAATTATTTTTCTTTAAATCACCTTAGTTCGATAGAAGAAATCATGATATGCCTATAAATTGTCAAACTCTGTGCATTGGTAGTGGAATTACTGTATTTGCAACAATTGAAAATGTATTTCTCACTTCACATGTTCCATTGCATCTGAATAAAGCTTTGTCTTTTGTACCCAGTTGATTCATTCATTCATTTTTCTCCAGCTTAGTTTCTTTATTTATCAGCCAGTCACCATAGCAGAATGAACCACCAACCTATCCCCACATGTTTTACACAGCAGATGCCCTTTCAGCTGCAACCCAGTCAGCATCCACACACACTCATCCACTATGTCCAATTTAGTTTATTCAATTCAGCTATAGCGCATGTCTTTGGACTGTGGGGGAAACCAGAGGAATACAAACACATGGAGAACTTTCAAACTTCACACACAAAAGCCTAATCCAGCAGGGACTCGAACCAGTGACCTTCTTGCCGTGCTAACCACTGAGCCACTATGTTGCCCCCCTACCCTCTGAGTTGTTTTACCTCATTGTTTTTCTAGATTACTGCAGTGTTTTGTTAAAGACTAGCCGTTGAACTGCTTCATACTAATTTGCTTAATATATATAGTGATGAAATCTGTGTAAGATATTTATATACCGAAAGTGAATGGCAAGTAACGTTAAAGAAGTCCAGTCTTTATATGTGCACATTTAAAGTTTATATTTTATGTCACACATGTATAGTATAGTAAAGATTTATTTAAAATAAGATGTAGTTTAATTTTTCAGGGTTGGAAACACATTTACCTCTGTGTTCCAGTGGAGGGCACCGTGCCGCGCGCATCAAGTGTCTTTCCCCTGAGCACGTGTCACCGGCACCGCTAGAATAATCGAGCTCAAACCGGTTTTTGCCCGTTGGATTGGAGACTACGCAAAAAGTAGACTGCAGTTACGCAAACTACGCAGAACTTTTCTGCGCAAGCGTAACTCCAAACTCGCAGCTCACGGTCTTCTCCGCTGAGCAATGTGATATTGAAACTGTTGTAACGTACATCTGCTTTTTACCGGCATTTTCCCAGCGCCTTTAACACATATTAACTGCTTGAAACGTCAATACGCAGTTTCAGACACTGGAAAACGAAACAATAGTGTGTAAGTTGATGTTTGTTGGTTATGTTGGTGTCACGGTGACTGTTAGCCTTACCGGCTAAAACTGACAGGAATCAGCTGACGCGTGTTGCATCGCCTCATTTTCAAGCTTTCTGTGTGTTTCTTCACAGTTTTGTATTTGAGCACAAATCTATATAAAATCAGTTAGTAGTAGAATATTATAAACGCGGCGTGCTATAGAAATTAGCATTAGCTTTTACTCAGATCAGCTTTAGTGTTTTCTTTTGACGTTTTGAGTGCCGTGCTGAACATTTTTATACAATGTTTAATTAAATCGGCTGTTACTGTATTTAAATGAGTCGCTTTTCTCTTTTGTACACTTGATAGCTGCGTGTGGAGTCACAGAAAGAGCCAGAATCATGATGAAGATCAGTCCTCATTCACTCTTTCTCTTCGGTCCTTAACAAACAGGTAATTCACATTTAACTGAAGTCAGTCTGACAGACTCGCGTTTCCCAGCTTTGATACACGACCAGTTTGTGTGGATAGTTTTGCGAGATATGCAATGATTTAATCAGGGATGTATCAATTTCTCTTTCACGTATCAGACAGCACAACGGCCATAGAGGAGGTTAAAAGGAGGGAGTTGAGCTCTTCCTCTGTGCAAACTTCATCATCATCCTCTGCAATGGAAGTTGCCCTGGTGAGTCTGTGCTCTTTAAGTTTTCTTTAAATGAAGGTTGTTTCAACAGGCTTGTCAGAATAAGTAGTTAAATGTCATGCTAATTCCATTAAAATCTACACAGAGATTGATTATAAAACATTAACATATGCTCGTATGTGCAACACTCTTTTGGGGAAAGAAACATGACTGGCTGTCAATGTTGTTTGGGCTGAGGTAAATGTATATTGCAATATAATTCTTACACACTAATGCTGATATGAGAATAGCACTCGTTTACAATCTACTCATTCAGAATTCACCGAATTGTTTAACTTTTTTTTTACATTGATGCATTTGAAAACAGTGTTGTTAAATTAATCTACATTTACAGATTTAGAAAAATGACTAAAAACACTGCATGTATGCATTAAGAAACCTGTTTTTAATGTATGCATTTTTAGCCCCTAAATGGCAGTGGCGTAGTAAATAAACAAAAAGTCTTGCATATTAAGTTATAAACAAAAGCTCATAATTTTTGTCTCATTTTTTTTAGTTTTAATGATAAGTCTGAGACATTGTGTGTACATCGTGATGTCACTTTTCCCTGCACATAACCCATTTTAACAACGTCATACATCATCTTAAAGTCTTTCTTTGTTGTGTAACCCTGCTCAACCTATACTGAAATATTAGGAAACAAGCATCCAATGAATGACCCACATTTCCTCTGTCACATCCACACAAGCACACGCACATATACATATGCCAACGGCGACTGTATGAGTCACGCTGTGCTGAAAGCACTTGATCCGGTGGAGTGAGGAGAGTGAGACCACGGATGTGCGTTTAGGTGTAAAGCAGTGATAAGAAGTGTGGAAAAGCAGCGCTGAGATCGCCAAGCATGGAAGCTTGTGGATTAAGCCGCTGAATCTCCTACTGGGGGTGGTGGGGGGAGAAGAGAGATATCTGGGCATTGTGTTTGAGATGGGAGAAATGGGGGCTTACACTGTCATGTGCTGTTAGCGGCAGCAGAAATAGTGAAAAAAAGAGAGATGCAAGAGAAAAAGGACCATCAGCCCAAATCTGCCAGCAGCCTGGGAAAGGTAGGGCAGATTAGTCAGTGGCTTACTGTATGTTCCTCTTGTATGTGTGTGTGTGTGTGTGTGTGTGTGTTTATGTGATTTGTGTGTCTGCCCATCACTTGTCTAGCTGTTTTCATGCTTCTAAATGAATCTCTGCTCTAAGGAGCCTTTCGGCAGCGTTGGAGCCTTGATGTGCATGTCAGCGAGTGTGTGATGGTGCTGACAGTGTCAGTGTGTGATTCTCTATTATGGTCAATCTGTGTTGAAGTACTTGTTTAAGTGGTCATTCACACTTAATTTGTTGTTATTCATTTGCATATATCCGCATATGCAAATGGCAGTGTGTTGTAAGGTTTGGTGTTCATACAGAGCACCAAATGCTGGATTGGATATTCAGTGTGGGACAATATGGAATATCCTTTTGTCTGGGTTGTCAGTGTTGGTCGCTGTGGTATTTATTTACAGTGTTTCTGAAGTTGATGGTGACCATTGTGTTGGAAATTGAAAGCAGTTGTGTGGCCGAGCCTGTTAAAGGGGGCATTATGTGAAAAACAGGATTTTTCTTTGCCGTTTTGAAATAAAACTTTTCAAGTGCTCTATTTAGTCCAACCAGAGCATTGCTGAAAACATCATCCATCCATGAAAGTGGACATAGCTAATGTGTGTCTGTTTCAGCCCTATAAGTTTTGGTTTATTTTTAATCTTCATTCATTTTAGAATGGTTATATTTGTTTTTTATGACTAGATTGCTTAATTTTATGTTTGGCATATTATTCTAATTATAGAGCTACATTCACTTGAATATGGACTTAGTCCAACTGTAAAACGCTAAATGAATGTTTGCATTTATTTTGTAAATTAAATTATACACCGTTAGTCTATAAAGACGAGTTACTGGTTTGGATCAAACTGAAACATTGTTCTGCACACTCTAAAGAAATGCTGGGTTGTCATAACCCTACTTTGGAGAAAATACAAACAAACCAACCACTGGGTTAAAATGGGTCGTTTAAATTTAAAGGGGTGGTCCACAGTGTATTTTTAAGGCTTGGTTGTGTTTATAAGATGCAAAACGTTGTGTGCTCATGCTTCATTTGTAAAAAATCCCGTTATTTTTTTATATATCTTACTTTGATTTCATATATATATATATATATATATATATATATATATATATATAAGCTACTCTGCTAACATGTATATGAATTTGTAGATAAATTGTTAGTGATGCCAAACAGTATTTCCTGTTGTTCACATCCTCACTACAACCTACCTTTAATGCTAGAAAATTTGCATGTATTAATCAATTTTAACAAATAAAGATACTTACAGGTTGTGGCTCACAATCTACAACTTCATCGGTTGGAGGAACTTTTAGCCGAATCCAGCACTGAACTGGAAGAGGTCCTTTGTCAAATGCTAGCTATATATTTTTTTATAATTCTCTGTAACATAATTATAATTAAACTGTAAGCACTTTTCTCTTTGGAAGCCCAAATACAGAAACAGAACGAGCTCTGTGGAAATAGCATCATTTGGATGCCATTTTAGCTTTCTCTGCTACAATACAGCACCTCTGGCCACGCCTCTTTGTTGTGCAGAGTGTATGTGCATGGTGAATGTGCTTAACCTGAAGCGATTGCAATCTTACTTGCCCAGATGTTTTTTTTTTTTTTTTTTTTTTTGTAGTCCCCAAACTTCTTTCGCTGTAGGCTTAGCTAAGCTAACTTTAAAAGTTAACGTCTCCCTTTGCATTGAACTTTGAGAACTAAAGTTTAAATATGATTTGTTAGTGGACCACCCCTTTAATTGAAAAGCAAATGCATTGGGTTTGTCTATTTTTGCCCCAACTTTGTATTATAACAACCTACAAGTTGTTCAGTGTATGATTTACAGATTTAGGTTTGAGATTTTTTTCATTAGTTAGCAAAAATGATATTATAAAGTCCAAAGTATACTTCAGCCAACCACATTCTGTGACAATTCATGCACATGCAGATTTCAGTCCATGCAGGCAATACATGTGCAGAAGCGAGGTGAAAGTTCAAACAGAACACAGTCACCTGGTGGCACTGCACATGTGTCAAATGCCCCCATTTAGTATGATATGAAAGCTGCATGGGTACAGTTTTTTCATGAGACAGCAGAACGTGGAAAAGGAAGTATACCTGCGCCAGAAACTGGACTTTACAAATGAGCTACACTCAAAATAAGCTTGTAAATAAGGATCAAAATTTGTACTAAATATCCCACCCATATTGTTTAGAAATTAGTCCCTTCGTCTCTATTCTTGCAGTGGCAAAAACAGATGGTTTGGTTCAATGGCTCAGAGAGTGAGTGTGGAAATCTTTAACCTATTTTGGTGCTAGAAATACAAATGGACTTATAATTGGTACATCTGTTTTTAAAATGACCCCTTTAAAGTGCTGTTTGCACTGTAGTTTCATCATCTCCTTATTCTTTTCACAGTAATTTGTCTTCTCCTCTGCTGTCACTCCATATTTTGTATCTATCTATTCATACTGCTTGCTTCTGTTAACCTTTGCCGCCTTCATCAATCCTTGTTTTCTCAGTTTCTGTTTTCTCGGTTTGTCCTCTCAGGCTCATCCTGCCCTGAAGGCCTTCATGTGCGGCTCTCTCAGCGGCACCTGCTCCACTCTGCTCTTCCAGCCGCTGGATCTGGTGAAGACAAGACTACAGACCTTGCAGAATAACATGCACCCAGGGTGAGACGCCACCAACAGACATGCCTGCTGTGGCCCTGTCTAGACGAAAGCCTGCAGATAAACTGTCTTGATCTTTTTCTGGTATTACAGGTCTCAACATTGCGACTGCTTTGGTCTCATATGCACCCAAAATTTTATCTGTGGCCCTCAAAATATACTTGGGAGCATTTGTGCGACTGCATAAAACTGTTGTTGTGCGACCAATTTTCAGTTTTCTTTTAGAAACAATCTTTCTTTTCATGCATGCAAGGCCACGCTGGTTTTTCAGAAAGAAATTCAGGTTGATGCAGAGTTTGCTGGATGACGTCTCTCTGTCAGTGGTATGTGTGCGCGCGAGTGACGTAGCTGTCTGCTTAAAGAGGCTGTGCAGAAATTCACATTTAAATGTTTTGACAGACAGTTTGAGATACCTGTCGAGTTATTTGTCAGTCCGACAATATTTAATTGGATGAACATTTTTTTTGTTTTAGTTTAATACATATAAATACATTTAGATCATTTACTCTATAATCAGTACTATTGGAATGTGAACACTTTCAACCAGCACAACAAAAATATTTCTGAAGACAATCACCTACTGCACCTTTTAAGTTCCTAAATTTGGGCTCCACAGCTAAATTTGTTACCAAAAAAGCAGGTATTACAACTTTTAGCTTTCTTCAAATCTGTTTTCACAACACAATGAAAACAAGCTCCAGTCATGCAGTCCACCAATTGTTTATTTTGCTGAATATCATGCTTGATGCTGCCATCGTTTTTTTTAGTGATGGAAGAAATGTAACTAGGAAAATGGTCCAGGGGGAAATTAAGTTCTCAGTGCGCCGACTTGACGGCTAATTTTAGCAAGTTCTTTAGTTCTTACAGTATATCTATCAGGTGTGAATAGGCATGGGACGATAACCGTTTTGAAGGTATACCACGGTTTGAAAAAGTCAAGGTTTTAAATGCTAACATTTTTTGCTATACTGTTCCTACAGTATATGTAAGTTTAACAGTATCTCCAGCAGAAAAGATATCCAAGATGCCATTTTAGATTGTGAAGAGATCTGTGTGTTTGAAATTAATGAAGACAGTATAAGTCAATGATTCATGTGAATTATTTAGTCTGACATGTTTACTGTTCCAAAATATTTTAAATGTTTCTCAAAATAAAATATATTGTGTTCGAAGGGAAAAAAAAGTTTTAGATATTTACCCAGACATTTAAAAGTAATATATTTTAGAGCAGCAATCACAGTAATGTAAAACAGTGATAATTTTATCCAAGGTTATCATACCTTCAAAATTTTATTCCGGCCCATGGCCAGGGCCTAGATGCGAAAGCTTCTAATTACTAGTGTTTTTTGTGTAGGCGTTCTGAAAGTTGGCCATTTTAAGTAAAAGTAACTGGGATGCTTGGTTGGGATAACAAAACCTATAAATAAATAAAAAATATTGTAGCAACAACTAAGAAGCAGCATAGTAATGCATTAAAACTACCAGCACATCTTCAGCCATTTAGCAGAATCACACAAATCCAGAGTGACACAATAAAAGCTATTCAGCAAATCAGAACGCAAGCATCATCACAATGAGTTTTACATATAAACATGCAACTGAAATTTACAATATATAGAAAATCTAGTTCTTATAAATTCTAAAGGTAATATGATCTGAAAAATCCACCTTTTTTCACTGGTTTTACACTGTGTTTTGCTTGCCTTCTGGTTGTTGTGGTGACTGTGAGGGTTTATTCCTCTTTTCTTTTTTGGCAAAACACTTGTGAGTGTCATTGTATGTGTCTGTGTTTATATAACCGTGCCCTCTCTGTATGCTGTGTGGGAGTGTCGTCCTCTATTATTAAATTGTCTGCCTCTCTCAGCCTTGCAGAGAATAACGTTATACCCCCATGTCAAATCGTGTGTGTGCTCATATGCTCAGCTTGCCATCGAAATGCAAAGGTTTTTGGCTCCATGCGTGTCTTTCTTTGCCTCTCTGCCCGTGTTTGCCATGACCGTTTCTATTTCTGTCTTTGTCTCCCAGTGCTCCGAAAGTGGGGATGATTACAGTCCTTTTCAACGTGATCCGCACAGAAAAGCTGCTTGGTCTGTGGAAGGGGGTTTCACCAGTGAGTCTCTGTTTGATATCACAACGGTACTAGTGATCTGATCTCAGATATGGAGTCTACATTTAATTTGAACCTTTGTTTAGTAGATGACATATATTGTGGTAATAATGCTTTACTGTATGTTTTCCTCTTTTTTTATTAGAAAACAAACCCACTATTATTTTGTTACACATTAACCCCCATTTTGCCTTTTAGAGGGGTCTATGGCTTCGTTTACACTAATACATTTTAGTTTTATAAAGGCATAACTTTTGCTTTGGTTACACCTTATGCCGCACCTCCCCCTGGAGACCCTAAAATAGTGTTTTAAAAATGCAAAAAAGGCCATTATCGTTTTAAAACCAGGGTTTTTGCAGAATCTAAATGTCTTAAATTTACTGAAATATTGTGTTGTAGGTCTTAAATGTTTATGTCTTAATTTTACTTTGTTTGTGCATTGCTACTCAGTCTGGCCAAAACCCATACAATCACCAATAAAACTTTAAACTTATTATTTAAAACGTAATTTTTAACTCTATTTACCATAATGTTTTAATTATTTTCCTTACAATAACATTTGTTTAAAAGTTCTCTATGTATTTACTGCACCGACCTTGACAACTTGTTGTACAAAGATTTAGTTTATTATAGTTTTAAAACCTTTGAAAACATTTGTTGATTTTTTTAATATTAAAGAAAGGATAAATATATGAAAAGGCGGAAACGCCAAAAGCTCAAAGCATCACATTTATTTACTTAAAATAGTTCACACCATATGACGTTTTGAGCATTCCATATGATGCAATGAAGACAACAACTTCCATGATTCCATACACAGTGACAGCGTCTTTGTTTGTTGTAATTAAGCACCCTCTAGTGGTGAGAATTATATGTACATCTTTAGATTCTGGGGGAAACCGGAGCACCCGGAGGAAACCCATGCCAACACAGGGAGAAAACGCAAACTTCACACAGAAATGCCAACTGACCCAGCCGGGACTCAAACCAGCGACCTTTTTGCTGTGAGGCAACAGTGCTAACCACTGAGCCACCGGGCTGTTGAGAATTATATATTGTGTTTTGCTATTCTCCTCTTACCTTTTATGGCAGTTTTTGCACACAAAACTTCTGCTTGCTGAATATATTTTTCTTTTTCTTTTTTGTGCCCATTCTCTGTAAACCCTAGAGATATTTGTGCATAATAACTCTACTAAACCGCCTGTTTAGCACCAACAACAGTGCCACATTCAAAGGCGCTAAAATGACCATTCCTCTTCATTTGATGCTTTGTTTTAACTGCAACAGCATGTCTTGATCTCTCCATGCCTAAATGCATTAAATTGGTGCTGTGATTGGCTGATTTAGATGTGATTGATTTAGACTTCGTATTGAAATTGGTTAATATTCTCCCTGTTTTTCTGTCCTGCAGTCATTCATGCGCTGTATCCCTGGTGTAGGAATCTACTTCAGCACATTTTACTCACTGAAGCAGCATTATTTCCAGGAAGGGTCCCCAAGCGCTGGGGAGGCGGTTTTGCTCGGAGCAGGGGCTCGTTGTGTGGCAGGTGTAGCCATGCTACCTTTCACAGTCATTAAGACTCGTTTTGAGGTGAGGAATCTTACAGAGAAGCTGCATTTACATTTAAAAGTGCATGTTTACCACTTGTATCTTTGTGTTTATTTCCTCTTGCTTGTTTTATTTCAGAGCGGGAGGTACAATTACATAAGTGTAGCTGGAGCTCTCAAAAGTGTGTGCCAGAATGAGGGTCCCAAGGCTCTTTACTCCGGGCTCACAGCGACTCTGCTCAGAGACGCCCCATTCTCTGGCATCTACGTCATGTTTTATAGCCAGGCCAAGAAGGCTTTACCACAGGGTGAGCTTCTGATGGGTTATCAATGTGATGTAATCTGTTGATGTTTCATTAATTAATAATCCATTATCTCTTTCTCAGAAATCAGCTCGTCATCCATTGCCCCACTGGTTAATTTTGGCTGCGGTGTGGTGGCTGGGATTTTGGCTTCTCTTGCCACTCAGCCAGCAGATGTGATCAAAACCCATATGCAAGTGAGCCCGGCGCTGTATCCCAAGACCAGCGACGCCATGCGCCATGTTTATGTTGTAAGCATCATGGAGGGAAATGTTTTTATCTTTATACATTTTGATTTTTTTTAAATCTACACAAAAAAAAGAAACAGTGCGTTTATGCTAAATTTGACTCGTCTTACGAACATAAAATTTTTTTTTTTTTTCAAATATTTATCACATTTTGTTTTTACACACAAAATGAAATGCGATTGAAACTAAACAAAGACAGCGTTAAAATACAAATGAATCAACTAACCATAGGATTTTGTTTGCTCACATTGCTAGTTTTGTGGTGAACAATTCATCTGTGGATGTCTTTAAGAAAAATTTAATTGTTTGCCTTTCTAATCTTTAATTGAAATCTGAAAATGCACTTACTGTTTTTCTTTGTTAAATTGTCAGATTACAAATATCTTAGGAACTGGGCGTGGCTAACAGACCTAACCATGCCCCTTCAACTGTCTGTTTTATCAACAAACAGAAATGGTGAGGAGGAGGTGTTTATTGGTTTGTAATAACTCTCCCCAAACCATTTTCCCAATCTTCCCTAATGTAATGCCTGCTTTTCTACATCCAATCAGCTCGCAGTAGAAAAACAAGCCACGCCCACTGTTTTCTCATTTGATATTCTGTTTCTTTAGAAACTGCTTCACAATATGAAGAAGAAGAAAAAATCAGTCGCAGCTTTCGGTTCATGCAGACTTTAAATTTTGTTCTCTGTGTGGGTAGGTTACACACCCTCACTGCTGATTGGTCGTCCAAACTTCACACATGGAGCAACCAAAACAACTGCTGTACAATGTCTTCCACAATTTTAGCTGAATTTGTCACATGGCTAAAAATGTGTCGTTCTTGAAAGTCTTGGTTTTTGCAGTTTAAAATTGGGAGAGTGTTTTCAAAAAGATAGTTTTTTTGTTGCCTCAAATGACATCTTAGTGAGGATGGAAGCTCAAAATGAAGAGAAAAACAAGACTTTTTAAATGTGCTGTATGTAAGTTTTTAAAAAAAAAAGCATTCAAGCATTTTCTAAAGCATTCAAATACCATCATATGTTTGCAGATATTTATGAAACCTGCTAAGTGAACTTTCTAGTTTATCTGAAAAGCAATGCTGAAGTCAGATAATCTGCTTTGAAAAATGTCTGATATGTGCCGGAACGCTGTCTTTGTTTTGGTTTTTTTAACCCTCCCACTGTCACTTTAGCCAATCATATTTCAGCACCCTAGGTTGACTTGGTGGAAAACCTCATATTTCATTCATTCATTCAGTGAGGAAGGCTCTCAAAGCATGCATCCGTGACCGAAATGCGACCTCCGGTGGACAATAGCAGACCGCGAAATGACACGCAGATTTAGCGTTCTACATGAGGTTATTAATTAGCAAATATAAATATTACGATCATAAACATTTGGTGAGCAGATTACATTGTAATCGCATGTCCTAACAACACGCTACGTGGGGAGATTTGCAGTGATAAGCAATTTGCCTGTTTGCACCAAACGAAACACGACAAATTTAAATACAGCCATTCAGAAGCACAGAATATGCACTCACTCACTAAAGGGTAAGGTTTATAATCTAATTACAAATTAAACCTCTAACATTATTAAATGTACATGCTGATTCACTGATATGTGTTGATTTTGAGTCTAAAGTTCAATTTCAAACTGTTTATTTTATTTTCAAGATCAGAGGTGAACTATCTGCTGCTGCTTTCAGTAGTTTGGCAATAAATGGCATGTAAAATGGCATTCAAACTCACATTATTAGCATTTAACACTGAATAAAGCAGATGAGGTGTACCTGAGGTGATCAGCTTAACCTGTTGTTCACCTGTGAGAAATAGAAACCGTTTCTACAGTCGAAATTTCAGATGTTGTTAGAACAAAAACTCCTTTTAATATGGAAACATTCCTTCTACTGCGTGCCGTTGCTTTTGTACTCAACACGATTTAAATCAGCCTTAAATCAGTCAATCCTCAATCTGGCAAACTGCGCTTGCGGGTGTTTTGATCCAGAAATGCAATGACTGGGTATCAAACTTGCATACTGCAGCTTTAAATGAAAACATATTCGTGTGGACATGGCCTTCAAAGAGGTCTTCTTTTTCGCAGTACAGTTTTCTTCTTGATTTAGTTGAATATTCCTCTTTCATATGAACGTTGCCAGTATTTCAAAGATCATCATTATAACTCTTTTTCTGTCTGTCTTATTGTAGAAGCATGGCCTGAGTGGGTTCTTCCGCGGGGCAGTTCCTCGTTCTCTGAGGAGAACCCTCATGGCTGCAATGGCCTGGACTGTGTACGAGCAGCTGATGGCACGCATGGGCCTGAAGTCCTAAAGACCTCCGCTGCACTTCATGTGTTTATCAGACTGTGCTTCAAGGGCGTTTCACATGATGGCGATCTGTCGTCTGTGAAGGGTTGATAAAAACACTAGCAGCTAATGTTGGCTGAGCTACAGGTAGTGTGTGTGTGTCTGTGTTTTCAAGTGCAGTGAGTGTTTACCCAGTGACACCTCTGACAGTGACATTCCCCAATTGCCACATTGTGAGTTTGTCTGTGTATTGAGACAGAGGAAAACCAATGAAATGCTAAACCATGTGCCGTTCTTACAAGAAACACTTCTCTCATAAGATAACATGCCCTCCTATGCAGCGTTTTTAAACCTTGTCATCCTTTTTTTATTCGAGGATGAGGTTTAGCGGGCATTACAAAAACATTCTCACAGTACTCCAGCACCCAGACAATCAAACCCAATTACTCCAGGGCTGAAAACCGAACTGACACCAACACACACTGCTGTGAATGATTATGCGAGTCTCGATGCGATGATTTGTGCTGTGCTACTGATCTCCAGTGCTGTAGGACTGGACGGATTTTTAAGTGTGTTGCAGTGCACTGGGTTTTACTTTCTTGAGCGCTTCTGGGCACAGACAAAGCCAGGATTTGTACATAATAAGACATTGTAAGATTTTAGACCTGGAGAAACATTTCATATTTATTTTAAAATAAGAGAAGTAGTGCTCTGCTTGGAATGGAAAGGACTTGTGCACATATCATGGAGACGTGACAGTACTACATTAGCTGTTCGTGCGTTTGGATCATATTGATTGACTTTTGTTGCGTTGTGTAGTAATCAGCGTGCTAAGATGCCATCGTATCGTCAGTGTAATGTTACCTCTGCATGACCCATCAGGGTGAATTTGAGGAAATCTGTCAAAAATGTCTCCGGATAGTTGTTTATTCTTAATAAATGCAGAACCAGTACAATAGTTAAGGGAAATGAGGCCCATTTGAGATTATTTTCATCGTATTTAGGAACATTTTCTCCTTCAATGCTTCTCGAATCAATAAATTTAGGTGATTATATATAATAATGTGATTATAAATGAATTAAGGAGATATTTATTGTGTAGAACATTGTAATATTGGTTGTTCTACCCCTATTTATTCAGATTTTTTAACCATTTTCGATGTAACTTTTGAGAAAAAACTTAAAAAGCATTATAATGAGAGTTTAATGGAAATGTTATGGGCTAAATATTACCTGTCCACAGCCGATTCGATCAGCTAATATATATAGACCTTCTGCACCTACTGGTAGGGTCTGAAGGTTGTTCTCATCCAATCACATGGTTAATCAGCTATAGATCACATACGACTGAATTATACACATTAAGAATTATTTATATTATTTATTAAATTTCCCATTATTGTATTTTATTAGCGTTTACCTCTACCCCAACCCTAAACCCAACCATCACAGTAAAGTAAAAACAGATCTGGATCTGGAGTCTTCTCCATTAGTATAGCTGATTAACCATGTGGATGGATAGTAACAGCTTTCTAAGCCTACTAGTAGGCACAGAAGGCCCCTACTGGCCCATATCTATCAGCTGATAACGGCAATTCAATCAAGTGATAACATTTGAAGCGGATGCTGGGCATGCTTTTTATGAAATTCACCCTTTTCTCTTGGTGATAGTTCCTTGCATTTTGGATAGTAACAGCTTTCTCAGACTACCAGTAGGCACAGAAGGCCTCTACTGGCCCATATCTATCAGCTGATAACGCCCATTCAATTGAGTGATAACATTTGAAGCTGATGCTGGGCATGATTTCATGAAATTCACCCTTTTCTCTTTCTCTTAGTGATAGTTCTTTGCATTTTGGATAGTAACAACTTTCTGAGACTACTACTAGGCACAGAAGGCCCCTACTGGCCCATATCTATCATCTGATAACGCCCATTCAATCGAGTGATTACATTCGAAGCAGGTGCTGGGCATGATTTCATGAAATTCACCCTTTTCTCTGTCTCTTGGTGATACTTGTGAATATAGTTTGCTTTTTGCCACTTAAATACACTAAGGGTTCATGCTGTGCACAATTTTGATCCCAGTAAAACTTAAATGTTTTTGTTTTTCTGCAGATACCATAATCATATTTCATCAAGTGTGTTTGACCATTTAAATTCAATAAGTTGATGTGCTCAGCTCGTTATAATAACAAATTAAATTCCATTAACTGTTTTAAAATGTCTAGAATCGCATTGGCTTGTCCCAGATTATATACGGCAAAATCAATTTAATACCTATATTAAGATTATCAAAGACTCGTGGAGCCAAATGATACACTAGTTTATGTCAAGTTTTGAATCTACATGTAAATAGTTTGTCAAAGCACTTTAAAAGTCAGTGAAGTCGATTGAATCGGGCCTGTTTGGGTGTGTGTGTGTGTGTGTGTGTGTGTTGGTCAAATGTTGCTATATAAGCCATTGTGCTCTTGTGCTGTACTGTGGAGATGTTCTTTGCCTTCACACAATCAGTATTGTCTGTATTTCTTATGGCCATTTATTGTTGGTATTTTTCTGTATGTGAGAATGTTTGCACATGCAAATGTCGTGCCTATGTGAATATGTCAATAAATCTGCCCCGTTTTCTACATTATTGTGTCATACACACCAAGTTTGGTCTGTTTATGATGAACCAATACTTATTGAAGGCAAGCCTACAACCATAATGCAAAAGAAGCTGTATCTTTGGGAAGGAGACCAGATGCAATTATGTGATTCAAGGCTGCCAGCTGCTTCACATAACCAAGTTAGCATTATACTTTTTTCCAATGGTAAGTAATACAGACTGTTCTCAAACATTCCATAGTATTGACTAGTTATCATATAAGTTTTAGACAAAATTCAAATTGGCAAAAACAAGTGGCACAAAATAGTGTTTCCTCTGTGTTTTTCTCCGCTCTGCCAGCGCTGCTGATGCCACCAAAGCTGACAGCCTGATGGCTCAATCTGACATGCAGACAGACAGAGTGTGATTCGTGGATATGAGGACACCAGACTGAAGCACTGCAAAGACAAATCAAAAGCTGCACGGTCTCTGAAGAGCTGAGGAGCCCTTTATTTACATGAACCACAATATGAGCTTTTTGGCTCAGTCCCTTTATTAATCAGGTGTCGAACCTGTATTAATCAGGAATGAACCGCCAACTCATCAAGCATGTTTTACACAGCGTATGCCCTTCCAGCTGTAACCCATCACTGGAAAACACCCATACACTCATTCACACTCATACACAGACCATTTTAGCTTACCTAATTCATCTGCACTGCGTGTCTTTGGACTGTGGGAAGACTGGAGCACCCAGAGGAAACCAACGGCAACACGGGGAGAACATAGAAATGCCAGTTAACCCAACCGAGGTTCGAACTAGCGACCTTCTTGCTGTGAGGGTACATGTTTTGAACACAACTGCCACATATGAAATTCTCCACCAGCAGATGTCAGTATTTTAATATCGAATTAGAAATGAGAAAAGCAACGAGTAAGAAATCCCCCAACAGTCATTGGTGAACACCCGAGTATATAATGTACGTCATTTCCTCTTCCCGCCCTCTTTTTGCCGTGAGGTGCAGAACTCCATACGGCGTTGTCTCGTGGTGAGCAGAAATTCTATAAATTTGATGATTTCTAGATGTGTACGTCTATCAGACCTTTTATAATAAAGGTTATAATAATCTGTTTTCATCAGATGCTATGTTAAATGCGAAGTTTACGGCAGTTCTCGTGAAATATAACGGCTTAATCCCTGACTTGTGATGTCGCACTAGGAAACGCGTGTTCGGCTGCAGTCAGAGTAGCGCGCGCGGTGGTCAGACTCAAAATTTAAGAGCACTATTGTTTTGTTTTACGTTGTCTCTATATTGTATAGCGATATTAGTTGGTAATAAGTCATACTCGCATTTATTCAGTTAATTAAAGCGAGAATGCGTAATATTCCAGGTCATGTTGACAATTTTGAAACACAGTAAATAGTTAAAGTTTCGTTTCTAGTAAAGTAATTTCCCTAAAGGTATCAGGCGATTCATTACAAGCTAAGAAAACTGGCAAATTCTGCTAATTTATGTTGCTGTTACAGTATAGTTAGTTTTTATATTCGCACATTTGTTCATTTAATAGTCCCTATATTATTTACCAGGTTTATCTGGATAATATTCGGTCTGAATTAACATGTATGACTGAAAGCAACATTAGCACTGTTTGTTTGACTGTAAACGATGTTGTACTTTGACAGTCTTTGGTTGTTAATATTATTTCATACTTAAGACATCGCAAATAATATTTTTTTAAATTATATTAAGGAGAAAGTCTAACTGAATATTAAACTAACTTTTACCACGATGTTGCTTTGTGTAACGTTAAACCAAAATGGTTAACAACATTGAAAATGTTGTGGCAAAAACAGTTTCTTTGTGAAGCGGATGCACAAGAGTGATGTATATTCTTTTAAGTAGCCTAATATTGATGTTTGTCCATTTTTAAATGTGTAGTTTCGAAGTCTAGTCAATATAAATGAAGCATGTTACAATTTCACATTACACGTTTTTTTTAATGTATATATATTTAATGAATGGGGCATTTATTAATCTGATAGTTTGAAAACCAATGTTTTTTCTTTATCAAAGGGAAAGTCATCCTAAAAACTATCACCATTTACTCTTAAAGTGTTTTTTTTTTTTTTTTTTTTCTATAAATATACAACACGCAACAGTATTCTGAATAATGTTACAAAAAGTCTGCAATTGACATCCATAGAAGAACAAAAAGGATGTCTGGCTGTTTTTCCCTCAAAGTTGTTCAGTGTGTGTGTATATATATATATATATATATATATATATATATATATATATATATATATATATATATTTATTTATTTATATATTTATTTATTTTTTTTAATCAGAAGGGAAAAAAACAGACAGTTTTGAACCAACGGGAGTGAGAGAACAGTATCTGGGGTCTTAAATCTCAAAAAACAAAATTTTTAGCCTTAAAGCCTTAAATCTACTGAAATGTTGTGTTGTAGGTCTTAAATCTTTTTAAACAGGTTTTTAATTTTCCTTTGTTCATGTATAATGTCTTAAAGTCTTAAATTCAACTTGGTGAAACCTGCAGAAACCCTGGAAAATGATGACAGTTTTCATTTGTGTTGAACTATTCCTTTAAAGTTAAAGCAGACTGGAAAACATAGGAAAGCCTTTTTCCCTCTTTAAACGGTCAGAGCGTTTGCTTCACTGTGGTCTTTTTTTTTTATTTATTTTTTTTTTTTCTTCGTTCGTTTGACTTCACATTTACACTAACAGCAATCCAATAGCAGTTTTTTTTTATCTTTGGAAGTTGTTAAAGCTCAAATGTTTTGTACCCTGTTTCTACATTTTAATCTTTGTGTTTGGATCAGTAAGTGTAGTCCAAATAAAAACAAGGCTTCATGTACTAAGTGAATGCAAAATCAATCTTCAGTCTGTAAACATCACGCACACTGTTAAAACCTCACACTAATGTTGGTGTTAAGGTGTCGGAAGTGTGCTAGAGTGATTCAGCCGGGATTTCGCTAACACCAGTAGGGCTGTTACGCCCCTTGACTGGAGTTTGATAGCAACCTGAGCTACATTTATCCCAACTCAACCTACAAACACCCATTTATTTTACTCCCAACTTACACATCTGTGTCTTTTTTTTCTTTAGCTTTTCCACTAAACTCGTTACGCAGGGAAAGTGGTCACGATGTCCGGAGGTCTGGATGTCCTTCAAATGAAGGAGGAGGATGTGCTGAAGTTCCTGGCCGCAGGAACCCATCTGGGAGGAACCAACCTGGACTTCCAGATGGAGCAGTATGTCTACAAGAGAAAGAGTGACGGTGAGAAGTGCAGGAAGACTCGGATGGAATTGCAGAGAAACGCCTTTGTTTTAACTTGACTAAATGAATGGAGCAAGTTAGTAAGCTTCAATCTGCAGACATGCACACGGTTAAAGCCTGGCACTGATGTTGGTGTTTGGGTGTCGGAAGTGTGCTAAATAAACATGGCTAGGTATTCGCTAACACCAGTAGGGCTGAAGTGCCTCATGACTGGAGTTTGATAGCAACCTTTGCTACATTTGATCTAAATTCATATATAACTCATTTTTGTTAGTTAATTTACAAGGTTAAATTAGAACATTCGCTTTATAATACACACACTTGGGAACAATTGAAGTGGATCAGAACCTTTCATTAAAGTCCTGAACCTTTTGAATGGCACTCATTCTAGTCCTGGGATCATTTAGAAATTTTTGCCTGCTTTTAGGGAACCATGAGAATGTTACAATGTTGGAAATTTTTAATTAAGATGCCAGGGGGATACTTGAAGAACTTTCTGAAAGAGATTGTGAATTCCTGCTCTAATTGTATTTCTGCAGGCGTGTACATCATCAACCTTAAAAAGACCTGGGAGAAGCTGCTGTTGGCTGCTCGTGCCATTGTTGCCATCGAGAATCCAGCTGATGTTTGCGTTATCTCCTCCAGAAACACTGGCCAGGTAATTCACTCTCAACCAGCTGCAATATTTTTTAAAACAGATTTTTATTTGTTATCTTTTAAAATAGACATGCACACTATTAAAACTCAACACTGTTGTCAGTGTTTGAGTGTCGGAAGTGTGCTATAGTAACTCGGCCGGGATTTCGCTAACACCATGAGGGCTTTGCCCCATGACTGGGGTTTGATAGTAACCTGAGCCACAATGTCTTCGCTTTATGTATTTTAAATCATTATCATGACTGCCTGTAGGCCTGTGCAACTAATCGAAAATCCATTTCGATATTGGCTTCTAACGATTATGAAAAACCATTAATCGAGATAAACAATTATTGCATCATATACCGCCCCTTTCAAGTTGTACACTTTTGTCGCTCTGCAAAGCTCAGTTCCATGTAAAAATGACCAAAAAAATTGCCTGTACTGCAGTTTAACTTTTCAAGCTGGGATGTACATAATTCATTGATGTAAGCTCGAATCATTCATATTTTATAAGCGCGAAAGAGCACGTGTTGTGCGCGCGCTTCGCTAATCCTCAGACAAGCTCAGAGACGAGCAGAGCACAAACATCTAACGCCATCTTAATGTGAGCGCTTTAATGGTCAAGTACATGCACATTTGTGTCAGAGCGTGGTGTTTAGTGATTATTTATATTAACCCTCATTTGTGTATTAAACATGTTGAGAATCAAAAGATGTGAAAGAGAAACCATATCCGAGCCGCAATATTTTTAAAGTGACAGCACACAATATCGTGCTGCCGCCTGTTATTATGATTATTAATCAAACAAAAGAAGAAAATCCCTCACTGCTCTTGATTGAAGGACTTTTGTAGCTAAAGTTTTTCTTACAGTGAAGATGCTTAAAGCACAGTTTAAACACAACAGATTAAATAACTAATTTCTAATAACTGATTTATTTTATCTCTGCCATGATGACAGCACATTATATTTTATCAGATATTCTTCAAGACACTAGTATTCAGCTTAAAGTGACATTCAAATGCTTAATTAGGCAAGTTATTGTATAACAGTATTTTCTTCAGCTGACAATAAAATATATATATATATATATTGCTTAAAGGGGCTAATAATATTGAGCTATTAAAATAGGTTTCAAAATATTGAAATATTATAGGAAATACTGTAAAAAGTTTCTCTTTTAAACATAATTTGGGATATATATATACATATATATAAAAATATAAATGAACAGAAGGGCGAATAATTTTGAGTTGAATTTTGACTGATAATCGTTTTGAATAATCGAGATTACAATTATGACCAAAGTAATCGTGATTATGATTTTGTTTCCATAATCGAGCAGCCCTGACTGCCTGTGTCTTCAGTGATGTTAATTGTCACTGCTTTCTCCCTGTTAGAGAGCTGTGCTGAAGTTTGCCTCTGCCACTGGCTCGACCACCTTCGCTGGTCGTTTCACTCCTGGAACCTTCACCAATCAGATTCAGGCTGCTTTCAGAGAGCCTCGTCTCCTGATCGTGACTGATCCTCGCGCTGACCACCAGCCCCTGACTGAAGCCTCTTACGTCAACATCCCAACCATTGCCCTCTGCAACACAGACTCTCCTCTGAGATACGTCGACATTGCCATCCCATGCAACAACAAGGTAAGATTTAGAGACTGAATTCAGATGAAGTTTGATCCGCTTGTAGCTAAAACTGTTGGCATATCTATGTTTTTTTTTTAATGCATTATATTTAGTTATTCATATTTCTTAGCCCTCCTGTATTTTTTTCTGAATATTTTGCAAGGACATTTTTTCAGCACATTTCTAAACAATATTTTTAATAACTCATTTATAATAGCTGATTTATTTTATCTTTGCTTTGATGACGGTGCATCATACTTTACTAGATAAATTAAGTACTTAAAGTGCAATTTAAAAGCTTAATTAGGCAAGTTATTGTATAACAGTGGTTCTGTAGAGGAAAATAATTTAATGGAGAGGCTTATAATTTTGACCTTAGCTGAAATCAATTGCATGTCGATTTGGATGAAAGTCTTGAAAACATTTGAAAGTGTAATGCTTTGTGTCATAGGGTCCCCACTCAGTGGGTCTGATGTGGTGGATGTTGGCCAGGGAGGTGCTGAGGATGAGAGGTACCATCTCCAGAGAGCACCCATGGGAGGTCATGCCTGATCTGTACTTCTACAGAGATCCTGAGGAGGTATGATCCCTCACTTAAACTTGTTGCAAACAAACTGATAAACACCATCTAAATCAGAGAAGTATAAAAGTAGGGCCCGCAGGCCAAAGTTGACCCATGGTAATCTTTGATTTGGCCCTTCATCCCACATGAGAAGAGAGTGAGAATGATCGGGAGGTTTGTTGAGATCATAGTTTTTAATTTAACATAACCATTTTTTTCTGAGCTACAAAAAAGCAGACAAATATGAAAATGTTTCATTTAAATGCTGTAAATCAGATTTTTAAAAACAATAAATACTGTCACTAAGTGGATAGAGGACTATGAAGAAGATATAAGGTAAATATGCCAAACGTTATTAAAGTTGCCATTGGTGATTTCCTAATTTATTTATTATTTAAAAATAACCAGAAAACGCTGTTTTATATTAACTAATGCAGTATATATTTTTACATTTTATAATGAACTTATTAGAGTAAAAAATCCAATTGATAACAGAATTGAGATACACTAGTCAAGCTACACCTATTGTCTGCCTTGATTTGCACTCCAATTACAAGTAAATCCTATGGTTGGAAATGTACAAGGGGTCTTGTAGGCCATACTAGACTGACTCATGAGCATTTATTGAATAGGACACAGTGCCTGTAAACCCATCTCACTTGTGTCTGTAAATTGTGTCATAAAACTGCATTTTTAGGACAAGTTTTGCCAAAATTTGAGGAATTCCTTTAGCTGCTAAGACCACTTTAGTCATTTTCTAAGCCATTTGCTGATAATTCCATCACGAGCACGAAGCCCAGTGCACAGCATTATTTTGACATGTTTAATGAGTATTGTCAGAAATTTCATTAATTTGTATCTTAAAGGCTTGAAATTAAATGTGAATTATAGAATTTCTAAATGTGCCTTTCTTTTCCTAAGTGGACACCATTCGAGTCAATTCAGTGTGTTAGACAGCTATAATTATATTGTATCTAGACTGTGTGCTCATTGTCACTGGTTTTCTGCTGTACCTCCAGATTGAGAAGGAAGAGCAGGCCGCTGCTGAGAAGGCTGTTGGCAAGGAGGAGTTCCAGGGTGAATGGACCGCCCCTGTGCCCGACTTCAACCAGCCTGAGGTTGCTGACTGGTCTGAAGGTGTCCAGGTTCCATCCGTGCCCATCCAGCAGTTCCCAGCTGGCATTGAGGGTAAGCAGACTTATTTCTCCAGATATGAGGATGGGAAAATGAACTGTTTTGCATGAACTCTAGGGCTGTAAAGATATTCAGACTGAACAGAAAGCCATGGTTTGCCCACCACAGTATGTGTGATGCTACTCTCATAGTTTGTGTATAGTTTTATTGTTAAACTCTAATGAATTTTAAAAGATTTATAATTGATCAAACTGAAATATCTTTTTATGAGTTTTGTATATTAATCGTTCAATGAATGGTTAAATGGTTATGATTGTGAATTATCTATTGAATATTTAGTGCAAGTGTTGCCATGAATGTAGCCGATGCTACTGACATGGCATTACACAGATTACCACTAATGACCAACTTTTCTTACCTTCAGCTCCTGGCAAGCCTGCGCCTGCTGAGGTGTATGCAGGTAAGCAACATTTTCTGACGTTCTGCGATGTAGTAAGAGTGTAGCAACATGAACTGCACAAAAGTCGTGTGAAACTGGCTGTCATTCATGACTGAATGTGTCATTGTCTTCAACAGAGGACTGGAGCGCTCAGCCTGCCACTGAGGATTGGTCAGCTGCTCCCACAGCTCAGGCCGGAGACTGGGGCGGAGCCACCGCAGACTGGTCTTAAGTGAAGCGTTAGCCTGGTGTGATGCTTGGAAATCAATAAATTTGATTTGTCTAAATTTTGCCTCTTTTGCATTAATTGAACATCTTTAGTAGTGGAATCTGTGCTGTAATATTACCTGCAGCAGTGAATAAGTCGCATCAAAAGAGATCTGTAGCTCCTAAAGTTTCTGTCATATTTGCATATAAAAGCATGTTTGTTTTGTTTTTTATAGTACAATGCATAAATACTTCTGCATTTTTCAGGGTTCCTGCGGGGTCTTAAAGTCTGAAACTTCACTAACAATTTTAGGCCTTAAAGTCTTAAATTTACTGAAATATTGTCTTGTAGGCCTTAAATCATTTTAAACGGGTCTAAATTTTTCTCTGTCCAAGTAAAGGTTCCCAATTGAGCTGACATCAATGCAGTCAACAACAATCCATCTCAACCCTTTGAGATATATATTTTATTTTTATATATGTTTAAAAAAAAATTATTGCAAAGAATTTCAATTTACAATAGCTGTTTGACTTTTTTACAGTAATTTCTCTAAATTAAATTAAAGAACTAAAAACAATTGCACTTCCTCATGATAATAACGGAGCAATACTTTAAATGAAACATTACTCAGTTTGGAGCAAAAGCCAACATATGTATATTTGATTGTCATTGTCTCCATTTTAAATAAGCTTTTTACGATGTTAAACTTGTCATTTAAAAAACATTAGTATTGTTTTGAAACGAGTTTTTATTTTATTTTAACATGTCGCTAAGACATAATTGCATTTATATTTATTCACAACCAACCAGGCTATTAAAAATTAGTGGTCCTTGTACAAGTCTAAAATTGAATTCATAATGGTCTTAAAAAGGTTCTAAATTTGACGAATAAACCTGCAGAAACCCTGATTTCTTGACATTTTTCATTTGGTTATTTAGAGCGCTTTATTGGATTATAGAGCACACGGTACAGTTTTGTATTTTAATACATTTTTCTTACAATGATCTCTGGGAAGCATTCTTCATGAACTAGCTGCTGAAAAGATGGCACTAATGCATTGCATTGACTGATAGCAGTGGGTAAGACTGTCTGTAATGCTGCTTTTACATTGAAAACAGATTTTAATCTTAAAGTTTCTGATTTATGTAAAAAAAACCTATTGAGAGACAATATTTCACTCCTGTTACTGTTGACAGTTTTACGTCATACCAATTCACTTAGTTTCTTTTGCGTTTGGCATCATTTTTAAAAAAAGATCTAAATACAAGTAGCTACCATTTCAAACAGTACTTAAGATCAAGTGCATTTGAGCTTTTTGGATTCTGGTAAGATCCTGTATATATAGTCAGTTCATCAAACAAACCGTTCTTTGTCTGAAGTAATTGGTCCAAGGATCTCTTATTCTAGAATATCCTTATTTTTTTTTTTTTTTTTTTAGAAAACCACTGTTCTCTAATTACCAAATCCTAGTTTTCACTACTTGTAAGCAGCAACAGTAATGAGGCTTCATTTTAGTCATCTTCTGGAAATGCTTACTATTCTAGTGCTGCTTAACATTTTGCATATAAATGGTTCCAAAGAGCAGCTTTTATTATAGAAAGAATTGGTTGCTCATCCAGGCTTCATACCATGCAGTCTATGTTAAGGGAAAAAAACCTTTTTAACAGAAAACCACTGATAGAAATCAAGATTATCCTTCAATCTAGAATGTCTGCTTTTGGTTTGTAATTAAACACTGTTATTCTTTTTTTATGACCTTATTGTGAGTGATGAAAGTTTTTCCTTTTGCTCTCGCGATTCAATGAAAACGATCCACCCCAGATGGGACTCGAACCCACAATCCCTGGCTTAGGAGGCCAGTGCCTTATCCATTAGGCCACTGGGGCTGTGATGAGAGTGATAATGTAAAACCTATCTATGTGATCCTTTTGTCTGAAATCTCAGTTATTTCCAGATTTCTGTGATCTTTTTTTCACATTTCGATTTTTTTAAACAAACGCAGATTAAGCGCCGAGCCTGAATCAAATCACAACGTAGTCTGTTGGTCTCCGGGCGTACAGCTTCATAATATTCTGGATCTGCCTCAATAGTGAAGGACGGGTCGCTAAGCAACAGCTTGATGCCGCGCCACAAGCAAACATGGCAGACAAGATTAGCTAAGAAAAGCATCTTACACAATACGACGAGCGCAGTAACAGATTACACATATTCATATGTAGTCTGATTTAATAATCAGGATCTAGAATCAAGCGAATTGTTCAAAGGCGAACGCAGATCTGCTTCACTTCTGCGTGCACGTAATAGTTGCTTAGCAAGTTTGCTAGCTTGTAGGCTAACGTTATCTGGCTAACGTTAGTTCACTTCATTCACAGATTTACACTTCTAACGTTAGATGTATTGACGTATAAGTCAAATCAGCTTGTTGATTTCGTTTTTGGTTTTATCCGCTTTATGATGTTTAGACGGTTAGTAAAATGACTGATTAGGTTCATGACTGAGGTGTTTGAAGAAAGAGAACAGTCGTCACCATGGTGAGTATAAATCAACATGTAACGTTAACCTTACTGCTTTTAAATATATAACAATGTGCAACTTTTAAGCAAACAAGCTTTTTGTGCATAGCCTTCATCATATAAATACAATAAATCGTAGCTATCAATAATATTTAAGAATACTAGTTTTGCGTGTGTCTTTCTAATTACTTTTTGAACTGAATGTATTACTCCTAATTTCAATTCTATACGATTAAATAAATCTCATCATTTTGTTGTCATAGTGTAAAGCTACCCACGTGAAAAGCCCTCACTTTTTAAGTCTTAAGTAATATATCAAACAAGAATTCTGTTTTAATATTTAAAAGGTAACGTTTGGTTAACTAAATTAAATTTAGGGATTTTGCTAAATAGATTAGTATAGTACTTTAATATTCATCATTTAAAGTAAACATGAGTTACAGGAAGAGAATAAAGACCAATAATCAGAACTCTAAAACATTATTTAAAGTTTTCATTTTCCCCATACAAATTAATTATCCTAAATTAATGAGCTTTACATGCATCTAAAAAATACAGCAAAAACATCTGAACATTCTTTAAAAAGATACACTGGATGGAGAAGAAAAATATCATGCTAAATCTTGTCTTATGAGAAATGTAATATATAATATTAATAATGGTATATGTTGCACTTTTTTATTTAAAGCAAAAACAAAATCTTAAATAGTTTTTGTATAAGTCTTACAGAAAAAAAATGTTGGCTGCATAGTCAGTAGATGTTTTAAATTAATTAATAACCTACAATATTTTAAATTAATTGCTCTTTTGATTTTTTACAATATAAATAATAATTAACTTTTTCCAACATTGATAATTAATTTTTTGAGCACCAAATCAGCACATTAGAAGGGTTTTAAAACATTATGTCAAACTGTAAATACTGGACTATTGATACTAAATTTTCAGCTTTGCCATCATGGAATTAGATGCATTTTAAATGTCTTAAATTAGAAAAACTTTATTTTGAGTTGTAATAATATTTTACTGGTATTACCTTATTTTCAATGATGATGCCAGAGTAAATTAATCTTTGAATGATTTGTTTGTGTTGTTTAGCTCTTGTCTCGGATGAAGCCAGCAGTGGGTGGTGAGGCCTCCACCAGTTCTAATGAAAAGAAAAGGAAGAATAAAAGCAAAAAGATCCCAAGGCTTGAGGATTATCTAAACCAAAGAGACTACCTGGGTGCCCTTACTCTATTAGAGGTATAAAAACAGCCACATAGGACATATATATATATATATATATATATATATATATATATATATATATATATATATATATATATATATATATATTGTATAGCTTAGCTTAGCATAAATCATTAAATCGGATTAGACCATTAGCATCTTACTCAAATCTGTCTTAAGAGTTTTTGTTTTATCTACAGAAGAGTCAAGCTTTAAAATGATCAAAACTCAACACAACTTTGCTGTGTTTCATTACGCCAGAATGACAGTAGAGTTCCTAGCCATATTGGCCTGTACAATGTAACTACAGAAGAGTCAAGTAATAAGAGTTAAAATGATCAAAACTTTTCTTCTTTCTTTTTGAGCGAGATGCTAAAGGTCTAATTCGTTTATGCTAAGCTAATAGTGCTCCTGACAGACCCAGAGATTAGCTGAATGGATTCAGAAATGGTCAAATTCAACTTTTTAACTCTAAGTGACTTGTTTAAAGAGCCTATTTCCAAAAACTCTTTTAAAGGTTTGTTTGTAATAGTTATTGAAGCTGATATGACAATCGATTCTAAACTCTGTCTCAGTTCCAGCGTAATAGCGGGGTCTCAGTGGAGCACGCAGATCTTTGGACTGGTTTCTGTGCCTTTCATGTAGGAGACCACAAGAGAGCAATGGAGGTTAGCGAAAGTTTTCACTGCCAGTTTGGCCAGGGGAAGAATTAAATTAAATGATTAAGATTGATATGATGAGAACTTTAAATATTCTGTCTCATTATATGTATATTCAGGAGTACAAGGCCCTCACTTTGAGGCCGGATTGTCCAGTGGATGTTTGGGTATATCTGGGCTGCGCACTGTTTTTCCTTGGGCTTTATAAAGAGGCCGAGGAGGCAGCACTGAAAGGTTTGTCTTTTACTTCCTGCATGCATAGTTGATTAAATAAGAGTTTTTAAAACACCCCTTTTATGATAAAAAGTTATGATAATTTTAAAATGATAAAAATTCATACAATCATTTTGTGATTTTGTTTCAACAATGTGTGACAATACAAACAGCAAAACTTTTTGACAAACAAGAACATGTTTTGAAAGTCCACAAGTAGTCACTGTATAATGAAGCCTGTTAGAATGTATATAATTGACAGAATCTGCATTTTTTGTTTTTGCTATTTTTGAACAGATTTTTGTAAAAAATAAATAAATAATAATAATAAATAATAATAATAATAGTAAAAATCTGCAAATTTTAAACTGAAAACTGAACACACAAAATAAAAAATAATTTAACTTTTATTTAAGGTTTACAGTCAGAATCCAGTTACAATCACTTGTTTAGTAAACAAAGC